AGGAGAAAAACATCGTGAATACGCCACTGGTATATAAAGTACAGTATCGATATGTTTTTTACAAACAGTAATTGACAACATCATCAGAAAGCACAAGATCAACTTTTCAATAAGATGCACCAAAAAACGCTCCTTGCATTACTTGTCCTTATGGCTATCGTGGCTCTTACTTTAGCAATCGACAATTCGGTGAAGATAAATCAAGTTCAAGAATCAGCATCATCATTCTTGGAGAAAAACATGAAGGATAGAAACAAAGACAATCTGGCTATCAGTGATACAAATGAGCAACGAGTGCGACAGAAACGTTTCCTTGGTATATTTAGCACATGTGGATGGTTCTGTTTCACCGAAGGGAACAAGTGTCTGAACGGTGGTGTGTGCCGTAATCACAAATGTAGGGAATGTTAAAGCTGTACGCATCTTTTTTTCATAATCCAGCACTTTATATGTATCTTTGTCGTGTAATCAACTATAATCTCGAAAAATAAAACAGGCATATATATATATATGTTTAACCAAGAAATACTAACTACAAAAGACAAAAAGAAATGAATGTTAAAGTATACTTTCGTTCCTCACTAAGAAATTTGTTTGTCGAGTAAACACTAAAAACTATGTATAAAAACCAATAGATTACGGTAGTGGTGAGGGCTAAGAAAGATAAGTATTGCAAAAAAGAAGTGAACATGTGTATTTTTCGTTGATTAAAATATGTGTAATGGCGTCAGTCATATCCGTCTTTAGGGCGTGGGTGTGGGTGTGGGCATACGTGTGGGTGTTGGTGCGAATGTGATATAAATATAGTACCTATACCCACACCCACACCCACTCCCAAACTGTATCAATTAGATTTTTCGATCTTGTCATCTGAGGTCAACTGTCCTTGTCGAGTCTCCAAGGGAGGCGCTCCGAAACTTTCAACGGGAAATCAGGACAGGGATTCCTTGTGACTTTCTATGGAGATGTAACGAATTCCCTAGGGTTTTCACTAGGAAATGAAAGGGAGCTCCTAAGAATGGATGTGAGTATAGAAAAAACCCACACCCACTAGGGTTTTGTTTTTCAATCACAAATAATTTAATAAATGAATTAGTATAGAATTTATGATACTGATCTCAGAATAATTAGAGGAATATGAAATATTTCAGATTTTATTATCGAATTTGATCTATTGATAATCTTAATCAGAAAATAAAAGAATTAAAGATTATACTTCTACAATTTTATTTCTAAAAGAAATGATAAAACAACTGTTTTAAAGACCGATGAAAATAAAATCTAATTCAATAGAACAATTGAAAAATAATTGACGTTTTGTTTCAATAAAATATTAAAAATCTGATCAAACTAATATATAAATTAATCATAATTATTATCGATTGTCTTTCTTTTTCATAATAAAATATTTTAACATTTTACTTATATCTGAAAATTAAAAAAACTCCAAAGAAAAAAAATTCTATTAAATTTTAAAACATGAACAAATTCTGTCCCCTTAGATCTTTATTGGGAATATTTCGAATCATAAAATTGATTTTTCATTCGTTCCATTTTAAATTATTTCAAAAACGCAAACAATAATTTTCATAGCCCAAATAATTCTTTGTTTATTTATTTTTCTATCATTGTCAAATAAAATGATTATATTTTCTTTTCATTAAGGTTCTTCTCAATCAAACTGTTCTACAATTACTACAGCGACTATATCAACGAATTCAATAACAACAAACCAAATATCAACTCAATCTTAAATAGAATAAAATATGTTTCATTAAATTAAAAATAACAATAATTTTGTCTAAAAAATAGTTTTGTTATCTTCAAAATTGAGATGGAACTCTCGCATAAATTATTTTTATGAATTAAGTAACGATTTAAATTGATTTTTCAAATATTATTATGCTTTTGATAAGAAATAACGATTTCTCTTGAAATAATATTCATAAAATTATTCATAATTTGCTTCTTTTCTATTTTTATATTACTTAATATAACACTGAAAAGAAATTTCATCCATCGTTTTCAAATAATTTTTCCATTGAAATCCTGAAAGTATTATTAAATCAATGTTTAAAATAAAAATTCTTTTAAAAAGTAACAAAGTTTTTCATTTAAAATATTTTTTTTAATGAATTGATTAATATGAATAAGAACAAAATTCAACTTCGAAAGTTTTATTTTCTAATTAAAATAAATATTTTTCATAATTGAAAACAGACTTTATAGAATTATTAATCATATAATCTCTCATATTGAAAAAACGTCATCGAAGAAAAACAAAATATTGGTAACTTCAAACGGAATACTTTCCTGAAACAGTAATAATCATTTTGTTTGTTTTGAGTCAAATAACTGTATGTTCTCTCATGAGAAATACATATGCTTGACTCAAAACACACATTTATGGTGTAATAACATCCACACGTGTGTCTATATTTTGTTTTTTTTGTTGGATGGCTATGGAAGCAACTATTAACAACAGACTTTTATTCTATTTTGCTTCGTAACTGAGAATATTGTTTTCTATATTTCAGTTAAAAGAAAAAAGAAAGATCATGAACAAGCGATCAGTGTCGGCTGAAGGTACTTTGTTTTCAAATCATATACAATATGATCGAAATATTATATTTTAGAATTCAAAGAGCAACATTTAAAAAAGATCAAATTTATCAATAACGAACAACAGAATGATTATAATAAAGGTTATATCAGTGAGAAATTTATAAAATTTAAAGATAGTAGTAGAACCTATGAGTAGTTACTTAACATCTAGCAAAATTCTAATATCTATCATGATTATTAAGTTAATCTTTCATAATTACATACTATAATAGATTCAAGAATAAACTCAGAAATGGAAACGTAATCTACGCTTGAAAGTTATTCATTTCGTGTAACGTCAAATAAGCATTTTATATGATCTATTGATTGCTTGAATAGAATATTATTTTTTTAGATAACAATATTGTTCTTGAATTAAGTACAACTGATTATAAACGTGCACAAGATTTTTTATTCGTCATTGCTGAGGTATAACTATAAGATCTCTTATTTAGTTTTACTATTAGAATAAAATATAAATTTTATTTTAGCCTACTCGTCGTTCTGAACATACTCATGAATATGAACTTACACCTAATTCTATACATTCTGCCATGTTTTCTGGTTTGCAATCACAAGATATGATTAGTGAATTACGACATTTGAGTAAAACAAATATTTCAAATGATCTAATCAATTATATAGAAGTATTTTCGAATGATTGATTTCAAAAAATAAACTTTTATTTTTCTAGTCATGTGCAGAGATGTATGGCAAAGTTAAATTAGTATTGAAACATAAACGTTATTTTATTGAAAGTAGCTTTCCTGTAAGTTAAATTTTTCGATGTATTTTTCGCGATTACAATTCGTTCGTTTTTATTAGAATATTCTGAATGAACTTCTTCAAGATTCTGAAATTAAAGAATGTCGAGCAATCTCAACAGAACAAGATTTAAATTTAGTATCGTTTGAAGTTATTCAAGAGAAAATTTATAGTTTAAAAAAACGGTCAGTCATTTTTTTCTTTCAACTACTTACTTATTTTTTTTAAACATACACAGATGTCAAGAATTAAAATATCCATTACTCGAAGAATATGACTTTATTCATGATACACTGACAAAAAATCTCAATATTCAACTTTCTCCAAATGCTAATTTAAGACCTTATCAAGAAGAAAGCTTACGAAAAATGTTTAATAATGGTATAATAAGTTATATTATTAATTGATTATTTCATTTTCTTTTATTTAGGACGAGCTCGATCGGGTATTATTGTACTTCCTTGTGGTAGATATTTAATTTTATTCTAAATTTGAATTTACATCTTGAAATTATATATTGTTTTAGGTGCTGGAAAATCATTAGTAGGTGTTGCAGCTGCATGTAAAATGAAGAAGAATTGTCTTGTGTTATGTAATTCCAATGTTTCTGTTGAACAATGGAAAGAACAATTCAAACGATGGTCAACAGCTGATGATTCTATTGTACGATCGTATACATCTAACAAAAAAGATAAACTTAATGGCAGTAAGAAATATTCTTTAATATCGATTAATTTTATCTTTTTATGATTAGATGCTTGTATATTTATCAGCACATATCAAATGGTTGCACCTAAAAAAGGACGTATTATTGAAACGAGTGAAATCCTGAAAAAGCTTACTAATTATGAGTGGGGTTTGTAATATTAGTACATATATATATATTTTTCTTTTGAACTTTTAATTATTCATAGGTCTCATATTACTCGATGAAGTACATACGGCACCTGCTAAAACTTTTCGAAAAATTTTGAGTATTGTACCTGCACAGATTAAATTAGGTCTTAGTGCAACACTCGTTCGTGAAGATGATAAAATTATAGATCTTGATTATTTAGTTGGACCTAAATTATATGAAGCTAATTGGATGGAATTACAAAATTTAGGATTTATTGCTAAAGTTCATTGTGCAGAAGTTCGATGTGAAATGACAGCGAAATTCTTAGAAGAATATACTACAGCTACAGATCCTACGGTTAAACGAAGACTTAGTGTACTTAATCCAAATAAATTTCGAACTTGTCAATCTTTAATTCAATACCATGAACAACGAAATGATAAGATTATTGTTTTTAGTGATGATCTGTTTGCAGTCGAAACCTATGCATTAAAACTTGTCAAGTAGGTTTTCATTATTTTTGTATTATTTTATTTTTAATTATTATTATGAAGACCTTTTATTCATGGAAAAGTGTCACATAATGAACGTATTCAAATATTACAAAATTTTCGACAAAATTCAAGAATTAATACTATCTTTCTTTCAAAAGTAAATCTATTTTTTGATATTGATCGTATAAAAAAAAATAACCGTGAAATATAGGTTGGTGATACCTCATTTGATTTACCTGAAGCTAATGTTGTTATTCAAATATCAAGTCACGGTGGTTCACGACGACAAGAAGCACAACGACTTGGTCGAATTTTACGTATAAAGAAAGGTTTGTCTATCTCCTTCAATAAGGCGAAAATGAATTATTATTGATTTTATTTAGATATTATTAATATCAATGAGAATAATGCATTTTTTTATACACTCATTTCACAAAAAACAAATGAAATGAAATATTCATCAAAAAGACAAAGTTTTCTTATTGATCAAGGTTATACATATAAAATGCTTACACATACACAGATAATTACAAATAAAGTATTGAATTCTTTATTTTTAAATAGAAAAATTTGGAGTTTTCTTTTATTTTTTCAGAATCAACTTTATTTCTCCACTAATGAAGAACAACGAGAATTACTTGAACAAATTCCTAGAACACCCAATAATGAAGAACAACAAGAATTACTTGAACAAATTCCTAGAACACCCAATATTGAAGAACAACAAGAATTACTTGAACAAAGTCCTAGAACACCCAATAATGAAGAACAACAAGAGTTACTTGAACAAAGTCCTAGAACACCCAATATTGAAGAACAACAAGAATTACTTGAACAAATTCCTAGAACACCCAATAATGATGAAGCATTACCTATAACTACTAAAAAAAACTTCAAGTAAACCAAAACATCCACTATTTCAAAAATATCGAAGATAGTCCAAGTGATAATGACAAGATAATCTTTTGTATTATACAGTTATAAAGTATCTCTTTTTTTAATACACGATTGTCTTCAAATTAACATGTGGAGAACATAAGAATTCTTTTATTTTTTTTTTTAAATAATCATTAAATAAACATACATAGATAAAAAAAGGAGATTTTACTAATAGTTACAAACTATTTAATTTTCAAACAAACACAGATAAATCTGATTTTGATAAATTCATAAAGCACTATTCATTTCATTCGCAACTAGTTGACCAATGTAATATTTGCAATAATAAATAACCATAGAGAGATTCTAGGGTGTGTGTGGGTGTAGACGTGTGGTGAATGAATATGATACACACACTACGCTCTCACAAACCACACCCACACCCACACCCTCAAGATATATGCCATTCATATACGAAAGTATTAAAGAGTAACAGAAAAAGTACAAACCGAAACTAGATACGAAAACGCACTTGAGTACATTGTACTAAGTAAAGCGTACTAAGTATTTTCGGACTTAATACGCGTACTAGAGTACAAGTTACTTAAGTAAAAAGTATTTTATGACAAATCTAGAGTATATTATTTAAGTGCAAAGTATTTGTATTTGTACTTCGTGTACTTATACTGATCCAATCTCTGGTGACAAGCCAGGTAAATAAATCAGATAGTGGAATCAATCACAGACCTTTTTATGTTAGTATCAGGGTTAGGTGTGGGTGTGAATGGATGAATGAGAAGAAAGAGAAGATATACAACCCCACTCGCATCCACCCTCAAGATGGCATAGATTTCAGTTTAGGAAAATCATTAAATCTTATTATTTGTAAAACTATATGTTTATGAAAGTAATAATTAAAAGAAAATTATAGTTTACTGATTGTTTGTTTCAATTCCGTAGCCATAATTTGAGACATTTTGAATTTTTGTACTTTTCCAGTTGGTGTTGTAATGAATTTGTCAACAAATCTAATATATTTTGGTATTTTAAAGAAAGCTAATTTATTTCGAAGAAACTTTTGAATATCTTCAGATTGACAATGTGAAATATTTGATTTTAAAATGATCCAAACACAGAGTTCTTCACCATATCGTTGATCTGGAATAGAAAAAACTTGTGCTTGTGCAACACTTGGATGTTCACATATGGTATTTTCAATTTCAATTGGATAAATATTGACTCCACCACGAATGATAATTTCTTTTTGACGTCCAATAAAATAAAGAAAACCATCGTCATCCATTTTACCTTCATCACCTGTTCTTAGCCATCCTGACGGCGTCAATGTTTCTGCTGTCTTGTCGGGATCAGCAAAATATCCACGCATAATTGAATATCCTCTAGCCCAAATTTCTCCTTGTTGACCAATAGGAACAATTTGTCCTTGTCGATCGACAACTTTAACTTCTAGTCCTTGCATACATCGACCTAATGATCCTAATCGTCGTTGTGGGTCATTATCTCCAGCCCACATGCCACTAGTGAGTAGTGAAGCATTTTCTGTCAATCCATAACCTTGAACCATTCGCGTAATCGGAAATTCTTTTTCTATTTGACGTAAAAAATCCAAAGTTAGCGTTGTTGCTCCTGTTCCTCCATAAGTCAATGAACTGAGATCATATTTGTTCTTGTCTGGATGATTTAATATATCACGAAAGATAATTGGTGCTCCAATCAATGCTGTACATTTTTCTTCATGAATTGCACGCATCGTGGCTAAAGTATCAGGTAACATAGCTGGAAAGATAACTTTACATTTACCCACAGCTACATTGAGCACACCGGAAATTTCTGCAAAAATGTGAAACATTGGAATAGGAACACAAACACGATGATAAAATGGATTTAGAAGTTCCCATTGAGCACGAACTAAATTAAGTATACCAAAATTAGTTAATGTTGCTGCCTTGGGTTGACCTGTTGTGCCTGATGTAAAGAAGATTGCAAGAGCAGAATCTGGATCAACCGATGTTTGTCGTTCAATTAGTTTATTGTGACATAGTTGTGCTCCTCGTTTAAGTAAATCCACATACGAATATGTACCTGGTAGAGATGTCTGGTCACCAGTTAAAATAACATATTTCAATGTGGGAACTGATTTAGCCGAGAGTTCACCAGCTGCCAATGATCGTTGGTTGAGTTCGGGAACAAGTCGAAGAAAAATCGAAAGTAAATCGATGGATTTGACTGATGGTGAGAGAAGAATACCTTTACAACCCACTTTATTTATACAATATTCAAGTTCACGTTCGACATAAGCTGGATTGATATTTACCTAATATAGAGAGAGAGAGAGAAAAAGAAGAAGATTCAAAAATACAATTTGACTTTACTTTGATCAAACCCAATTTAGATGCTGCATAAGATATTGTCACATTTTCTGATGTATTTGGAAGCCAAACAGCAAAACGGTCGTTTTTTTCAAAACCCAAGTCAAGAAGTGATGCTGCGATATTATCAACTTCATCTTTGAATGTTTTGTATGTGTACCGTTTTTGTTCACCTTTAAAAATAAAACATTCCTCATCGGAATACTTCAAGGCCATTTCATCAAAGTGCTGACTCAGTGTTTTGTTGATCAACTGAAATGAAGATGAATGATGAAAATAACTTGAAGTTAGATTAATCTTTGGTATCATTGTGAAATGATCTTGTTTTTCAATTTGATTTTTAATCGACGATGTCATTTTCTCAACAATACACACTTTTGTATTTTCACTTTTATCTTCACCTTCATTCCTTATCATTTTATATTTAATAAAAATGAAATAACACAGAACAAAGAAAAAAAAATCGAATATAAAAGCCAGATAAGAAGAAATTTAAATAGTATCATCACAATTTGCATAGAAATAATGAAACACTGTATCGATTTTTGCATTCTGCATACTGAATGTCTACTAACTCATTGTTTTCATGAACCCTCCCTGAATTTTGAATATTTGAAGAGTAAAATGTAGGTTATTATTTCATTTCAACACTTTGACCCAGTTTCAAAGTTGGTCTTAATCGAAATACATGTAAGAGCTACCGTATCTGTGCCGTTAACATTTATACGAAGATAAGAACGAAACGCGTGTTAGGCAAAAAGAAAATAGGGTTTTATTACTTTCTTTTCTACTGCTGTTGTTCTTGTTGCTGTGTGTCGTATTTGTCCGTAATAACATCTGACAAAACATTGTTGCAAGGTAATAATATGCTGAAAATATTTTGTTGAAAACTAAAGAAACAATTTAGAAGAAAGACTTATTATATCATTTCAGAATGACCGACTCTCCAACAGATACATCGAGAAACACTACATCTTCACATGTTTTTCATCGTTCTCTTGTCAATGAACCTTTGCTCGCTGTACGAGCAGAAGGGAATTACATTTATCTTAAAGATGGACGCAAGTTACTTGATGGTAGTGGTGGTGCTGCTGTGACAAATATTGGCCATGGCGATAAACGTGTCATTGCTGGCATTCTCGATCAATTGCAAACTGTTGATTATGTTCATTCAGGAACATTTTCAAATAAAGTAAGTGAAAACGTTCATTCTTAGTTTTTCTCGCTCAACTATCGCGAGATAATTCAGGACACGTACAGAATTCCTAAGTCTATAATAATCTTTTATTTATAGGCAGCCGAGGAACTCGCAATCGAACTGACCAAAGACAGTGGAATGGCAAGAGCAATATTTGTCTCAGGTGGTTCTGTAAGTTTAGTTTAAGTTGATTTATTCTTTTATCAATTATTTGAAAAAAAAGGAAGCGATAGAATCAGCGATCAAACTTGCTAGACAATATCATTTGGAAAAAAAACAACCGGAAAGAATTAATTTTATTGCTCGTCAACAAAGTTATCATGGAAATACACTTGGTGCGCTTGGTCTCTGTCGACATACAGCACGTCGTGCTCCTTTTTTACCATATTTTTCATCTCATTTTCATCATGTTTCACCTTGCTTTGCTTATCATTACAAGTTAGACAATGAATCAGATGAAGACTATGTGAATCGTCTCGCTGATGAACTGGAAGCTAAATTCCAAGAACTCGGTCCTCACACAGTTGCTGCGTTTTTTGCTGAGACAAGTAAATACGAGACACATGATAGATGAAGTTTATAGTTTATCTTCTTAATCTTAGTCGTCGGTGCTACAAGTGGTTGTACTCCAGCAGTGCCTGGTTATTTCAAGGCAATGCGTAATGTATGTGATCGACATGGTGCTCTGTTTGTTCTCGATGAGATTATGTGTGGAATAGGACGAACGGGTAAAATGCATGCGTGGCAATGGGAAGATCTTTCATCTCCACCAGATATTCAAGTTTTAGGAAAAGGACTTGGCGGTGGTTATGCTTCTCTAGCAACTATTCTCATTTCAACCAAAGTTATCAATGCTTTTCTTGCTGGATCAGGTTCATTCAATAATGGATATACTTATCAATCACATGCTGTTGGATGTAGAGCTGCTTTAGAAGTTCTCAAAATAATTAAACAAGATCAATTAATTGAACAATGTTATCAACGTGGAATCTTCTTACAAAAGATTCTCAACGAACAATTGAGCAATCATTTGCATGTTGGAGATATTCGGTTAGTTTTTTTCTCGATATTTACATATTTAATGTTCATTTAATAGAGGTCGTGGTCTATTCTGGTCAGTGGAATTTGTCAAGAACAAAGAGACGAAAGAGATGTATCCATCAACTTGTTTATTCATTGATTCTATTATAAAAGAATGCATAGAACGTGGAGGTAAGTTGTTACCTATTCTAAATAAATATTCTAGATTTCTTTTTGTTTATAGTTGTCGTTTATCCTGGCTCAAAAGGTACGGCTGATGGTATCTGTGGAGATCATGTGATCATTGCTCCACCGTATACAATTACCGAAGACGAACTTGCTTTTATTGTCGACACTCTCAAAGTAGCGATTATTGTTGTTTTTAAATCTATTCAAGAACTTGCTTAATTTAAT